AGAAAAAAATAGAGTTATTATTCACTGATAACATATCAGCTACACATGAAATCTAAATGCATAAAATATTAGAAATAATAAGAGAATTCAGGAAGGTTGCTGGGTCCACGTTAAAGTTTCACAATTGGTAGCATCTGTATGAGACAGGCACCTGTTCATGCAGCAGCATAACCTATATGCTACATGGAATGCATATCAGCATCCAACAGGGATTTTTGATAGAACTTTGACAAGTGGATGCCAGACCTTAGCGAGAGGGGCCTAGCAGATTGGCAGTGGCAATTTTAAAGAAAATAATAACAGCACGCATGACTGCTCTGCTTGGGGCTCACTATAGAAGATGTAGTTTGAAAACAAAGAAAGTGGCCATAGAGAATAAAACAAAAGAAAACAGCACAAAGGATCAGTGGACACTTTGCATGTTTACAGATGTAACTGCAAAGCAAGGAAAACATGCTCTACTGAAAGAATACAGGATAATTCGTTATCGTACAGGTAAAAATGAATTCATATACTATAAGCTGAAGACAGTTCAAGATAGAGAATTTAAACTGTAACTCCTTTTTTTTTTTAGATGAAGGAATATTGAGTGATGTTTTTATAATCCCAAGGAAGAATTTCTTTGACAAGGTACAGAAAACGAAATGCTAAAGCTCCATGGCTAACCTTGAAGTTATGTTAGTTGAAGTGTTGTTCATTAAGACACCAAGAACTAAATAAAAAGGTAAGCCAAAGATGAGGGTCACCTTCCTGTAACACGTTAAAAGAGCACAAACTTGATATCCAAATATCCATCGCTTCTGAATATTTAGCAGAAGAGAGTCAAAGTTTGTAGTAGATGAACAAGCAGAAAGTGGTCCACAAAATTCACGATGAGGGAAGTATAGAGGGGTGAGCAAGTATGAAGATTACTAATTAAAGCAAGGTCTCTCTTCATGCTTTTTAACATCCAAGCACACCAACTTTTACAGCTGATGAAGGGAAAGGGTAAGCTGGATGTGGCTTCATTGGAGATTAATGTATCAATACCGAGTTTGCTATGAGCACCCAGCAGTTCCAGTTCTAGCTGTCACAATGTTACACGTAGAGAGGTGTGCATTGCAACTTTGTAAAATGAAACTGTGAAGACAGGCTTAGGTTGTTGAGGAAGGGACCACAAAAAAACAAGCTGCTTTATATTACAGAATGCTATAAAACAGGTATTTCTACAAAAAATGTATGTCAAGATGGATGAAATCCAATGACATAATAGTCAATGATTAAAGAAAGTAAGTGTACAATATGAAACTACTACATTTGAAAAACCACAAATAGTAACATTTGTTCTTGAGGGGAACACACACACACACACACACACACACACACCACTCACTTGTGTGGAGTATAAACACAAAATCTTTCATGAGAATGACATACACAGATCTCCTGGACTGGAAGAAAATCAAGTTGTTAAGTATTAGGACATTTTGTATTTTTTTCCCCTAACATGGGGAATTTGAGAATTTTATTTTATTAATATTTGCTTAGCCTCAGGATATATAAATTTGCACTATTACATTACTTTTTGTTTGTTTGAAGTGCTAACTAATCCAACTGAAGTTTTCAATTTTGAAAATGAATTCAGATGAGAAAGCTTCTTCATATGCTGTTTCTGCACTTCTTCCTGGAATTTAAGACTATGCTAATCTAGCTGGAGACCTTTGCCTTATCCAGGGAGCAGAGATGGACATACATTCCTCACCTATTGCCTGGCCTGGGGTTGCTTGTTTAAAATGGGTGAACTAGCCAGAAGGCAGCTGGCTGTCAACCTAAAGGTAGTAAAGCAGCTAGGGAGCACCTGGCTTCTCAGCCAAGCAGCAAAGCCCTTCCTTCTCCCTGGGTACTTGGGGACAAACTGTGTGGGCAGGCTGTTTCACCTTGGCTGAGAGAGGCAGGGCAAGCAGGGTCAGCACTGCTGCTGGCTTCCTGTTTGAGGAAGTGCTAAAGTACAACTGGAGACCTCAGCTAACAGCACAGAGATTATGCACATGCCAGCACTCAGCTAACAGCACAGAGATTATGCACATGCCAGCACTCAGCTAACAGCACAGACATTATGCACATTCTGGCCCAAAGACTGGATATAGCTCTCAGATACACAGTGATTGACTCACCACGATTTTGTTTGTTTTTGTTTTTTCCTGCTTGCTATTCTGTTTTGAGTAAAATCTAAATCAGTTGCTAATATTGATATAATTCATTTGTGATTAAAATGAGACTCTTAACTTCTCTCCTAAAGATGGTGGCACATCAGGTCAACAGTCAGATGTGCTTAAAGAGTGTCCCCTCCCCCACTGCCTCGCTCTTGAGCTGCTGGCTACTGGAAGGAGGTAGACACTCCCACATCACAGATGAAAAGACTGAGATTCAGAGTAGCGTCCTGGCCTGCTCAAGGTCACAGTTGGCTTATGGGTTCCGTCACGTTGGCACATGTCACCTCACCCAGGTATCAGTTAACTTGAGATCACTTTTCTTTACCATAGGAGAGGCTATTTTATAATCTCAGGGGCACCTCTTCTCTCTCCTTCAGCAGTTGCAATGGAAGCAACAGCTTTGAATGCTTTTAACAAAGGCTCACCTCAAACTTCAATAGAAACACAAAAGATGGATTCACTGTGATAGTTTTTAACTTGAATTGCAATGTTTTGATGTTCCTAAACTCCAAACAAAAATTGTTTCACATGTAAAATGCAAGAGAATATCACAACATAACTTCACATGGTATATACCTGGAGGATCTATGGTCACAGAGCACCACATTTTAACATTTAGATTTTCTCATTTTATTATATGTGTGCTCTCTCTGCATGCATGTATTTGGCTGTGTGTGGGCTTGCTATCCATGGAGGCCAGAAGAGAGCATTGGATCTCCTGGGACTTGAGTTACAGTCGGTTGTAAACCTCTGAGTGGGAATCAAACCCAGATTCTGTGCACGAGCAACAACTGGTCTTAAACATTGAGCCATCTCTCCTGTCCCAGGGCCCCACCTTTCAAGGGTGTTTCTTCAAGGGGCCCATGTCCCTTCACACTCTCGCTGTTTTTCTTCTCAGTCCAGAAAGATTGTTATTCTTACTGCTCTGGAGAGTTCCCAGGCCTCTGTATAGCATGCACTTCCTTTAGACTTTCCCAAAGCACTGGTTTCTGCTAAAGCTCTTGATAGTCCGCACCGGTTTGCACAAATTGTAGCCATCCTACCCAGCAGCAGTTAGCCACCTAGCTTAGCCAGTCTTGGTTTGCTATTTATTTATTTATTTATTCATTCATTCATTTATTCACTGTGGAGAGGGCAGGGAGAGGACCCAGTAAGAGAACCAAAAGCTGGTTCTCTTATGCTGTTGGGAATTGAAATTTTGTTGTCAGTTTTTATACACTGAGTCATATCACTAACCTTGAAAAATGTTCTATTGTTAAAGTTGCTTTGCATAGATTACAACAATCTTTGAGAATGCAGGTACAGAAATGCTAAGTCACCTTCATGTGACTGAATGGTGGGAGGCCAGATCAATTAACTTTAGCACATTGTTAAATACTATGCAACACAGTGGAAGATAAAATGATGTAGATCTTAACCTCAGGTGCAGACAGATGTATAGGTTACAAAAGGACACATTTAAAGCCTGGAAACGGTTCTGTTAGAAACACAACTATTGCCGGGCGGTGGTGGCGCACACCTTTAATCCCAGCACTCAGGAGGCAGAGGCAGATGGATCTCTGTGAGTTCGAGGCCATCCTGGTCTACAAGATCTAGTTTGCCATGGTTTGCAGCTGTGTATGTAAGCACACAAATATCGGAAATAAATACCACAGAAAAGGCGAGTCTGGATATTTGTTGGAAAATGGAAATCTAGAGGAGTGTTAGCTGTGCTGTGATGGCTGCAATGCCTCACTTAGAATGTAAGTGAAATGAAAACAATTGAATCATATGCAGTCATAGGCCCTTAATGTGTTCTCAGGTAACACATAAGTCGCTCTGGGACCATCTACAATCGCTCTCAGTCATGTAAGACTTAAGACACCTGCTCATCATAGGAAACAAAACTTACTGTACCCAAATTAACTTTTAAACATAAAAATAACATCAAGCATCTGAAAAGTTAATTTCTGTTTCACAAGTTAAAATCAAGCCAAAACAAGTCTCACAGTTTTGAGAGATTTTATCTTTAGTGGTAAAGAACCAGGATTATGGAATAGATTCAAATGAGCATGGGGTCACCCAAATTCCAAAGAGAAATCAAGTCATTCTAATATAAGTTCTAGGTCTTGATTCTTTTTTCCAGTGATGGCTTTTGTTTCCAGAGAGTGCCAAAGGAACACGGAAATCTCGGGAAATCAGAGTCTAGATGAGATCTGGTTTAGGAAGGAGCAGTGTTGAGACTCCAAGGAGGTGTCTCCTCCAAGGCTTGGGCACTTCGAGCCAACCAAACCACCTATTCATCCATCAGCCTGACATCACACCTCCAGTACCCTAGCCATTATCATCGTTATCATTGATCTGTCCATCCATCCATCATCTATTACCTAACTCATCTATTATCCATCCATGCCTTATCCATTTACCTATCATCAATCTATTTATCATCACCTGGCTATCTTATATAACATATTTATAATCTTAGTTACCTTATATCCTTCCCTGTTATACACCCATCTATAACCTATCTATGGTCTCCATTTACCAGTATCTGCAAGCTGTTCTCCTCCAGCTGGGATTCCTGTGATCCTGAAAAGCTGGCTGGCTCCTCGCTTCTACCAGCACTGCAAATTCCACCTGTTTCCCGGGGCTGCCCTTCTTCCCCCCACCCACCCCGTGTGCACTGCCATCCCTGAACTCAGGAGGAGTCTGCCGCTGAGCAACGCTCCAAATAGTGACCCGAAGAAGCCCTAGTGGGTGGAACTGGCTTGTTCGTCCCGGGATAGGTACAAGCAGTGGTGGGGTCGCTCAGCCCCTTCAGTCACTCACCTTGCTAACCACAGGCGGTGTGGCCAGGAGCAGCAGCAGGATAGGCAACAGGAGCGCCCGGAACCTTGGAGCACTCTCTGAGTGCATGATGGGCGTTGGTCCTGAGTCCCAGTGTGCCCAGGGATCCACCGGACCCACGAACTTTCAGGCTTCCGTGTACCGCTAGGGGCACAGATTAGGGAGGCACCGCTGGGAAGCTCGCCTTGCTTGCTGACCTACTGGGGCGAGTTTTGTAGGGCTCGACCCACCGCAGTCTGCTTGTCCTCACCCAAGCTTTTGACTGTGACTCTAAGGGAGGGAAGAAGTGGCCTAGGTCCCGCCCTCGTCCCCCCTCCCAGCTCGCCAGGCACTGTCCCTTCAACCGGGCATCGTGCCCAGGAAGTGAGAAAGGGTTGGGCGCCCTCAGAGCAGGCAGGGGGGCGCTGATCCAGGGTCAGGGTGAAAGAGGTGATTCCCTGCGCTCCAGGGACTCTGGTGCCTAGAGGGTGCGGGTCAGCGTGAGGAATTTAGGGGTGTGCGGTAGGGAGGTAGCTGCACAGGGTGGAGGGAGTGGCCAGCAGCCCTGCCCAGATTAAGCTGGAGGCGCGCGGGAGTCTGCGACTCTGGGGCCAGGTTTGCTGGTAGCTCCCGCGGTTGTACATCTGCTGACGGCCTTCAACTCACAACCACTGCATAGATTTGACGCTGAACAGGCAGTGGAAAGGAACACGGTCACGGGTGGATTCCCTCCAGCCGCAACTGTGAGGTGCGTATCAAATCTGTCTGCTAGCCTGCAGTTCCTTGTCTGCCGGATTGTTCCCGCAGGTAAGCCGCCCACAGGCAGGCACTGCCCCAACACCAAGGCACCTGCCTAGGAGCAGAAGCTTTGCGGCGTCTAAAGGGTGGTGGATGGGGCAGTTGTGGCCTTGGGGTCAGCAGAGGAGAGCTTGCTTGGCTCCCAGGCTTCTCTGCCAGGGCTTGAACTGGGCGCTGTGTGTTTTGATTAATTTGGAGGCTCGAGTTACTGTCCTGGCAGTATTGGCATTCCAAAATGCCAAGAGCAAGAGGCAGCTGAGGGGAAAGAGAAAGCTCATCCTATTCTCTGAATTGAACTGCTTTTCAGGCTAAACCTTATCTGCGGAAACGGGGGAGAAAACAAGAGCCAGCTCTGGTCCAGGGTGTCCCCGCCTGGGAGGGCCTTGGATGCAAATGCCACCTCTAGCTCCGTAGGGCACCCTGTTGGAGCAGGCTTCTATACTTTCTCGTGCTGCAGACAACACTGAATGGAGTGAGCCGTGTAAAATGCACAGGTTACAGTCAAATCAGACGGTTTTACTTGGATACAATCGTCACAGTGATAACGGAGAGTTGTACTAACAGACAGGTAGTATTCTTGGTGAATTATGTATTGTTGAATTAGCTCTACAGCACACCTCGTTAAACAGCTATAGCATCCTCACAGTGGTAACTGAGAACAGGGCTTGTGATAACCATCTAAATGCCACGAGCGTATCAGTGAGAGCAAGCTCAGCCGCTAGCAAGTCAGTGGCCTATTAACTGATGTTTATGAGTGCAGGAAAGGCCCAGCTTCCATGAAGTACCGGTCACCGGCCATCTGAATTCCATTTCACCTCCCCTTCAAATTGTAGATAAAAAAGGGGGGACTCTTTCATGACGCACAACTGTGATGGTACATTAGAGTCTCCTGAGAAACAGTTCCAAGTTCCAATACTCAGTGAACTCCAAGTTGGTTGTATCAGACTCTCTGCAGAATAAACTTATTGGAGTACACCAGAGCCTCTTGCAGATTCTTTGTGCAAACTAGCTTTGTAGTCACTATTTTATTATGTTATTTATTATTATTATTATTATTATTATTATTATTATTATTATTGTTTAATATATTAACTCCCGACCACAGTTATTTTCGTTAGCTGCACAGAATTAGGGTCTCTTCGGTGGAATAATAATAATAATAATACGAGTTTGTGCTCAGATCATAAATATAATTGGCCACATAGTGGCTTCCAGAAAGTTCTTGAGGGAATGTCTGCCATCCTCGCGGGGAGGACAGCAGGGACTCTGCTGCTGTTGAAGTGACCGTGCCCAAGGGTCCTGAGAAGCATTTGATTATCTTTTACAAAGTGATATTGCTTCCTGAAAACAAATCAAAATCTCAGTACTGATATCAAATGCTCCCCTCCCCGCTTGGCTAGATTCCAGGAAATTTGAATTTTAAATGGATTTTTTTTTGTGACCCCGTAGCTTCTTTATCACCTTCTCTCTATGTGTGATGTATTCATGAGTGCATGTTCATGTGTGTGCATATTCTCGCGTGGTTGAGCAAGAGCCACAGAGAGTGTGTGCAGGCAGCCTTGAGTGTGGGTCCCCACCTTCCACCTTGCTTGGGACAGGGCCTCTTGTTCTTCTGGCATGTCCGGTTCCAGAGATTCTTCTGTCTACATCTCCTGCCTGGCTTTAGGAGTGTTGTGATTACAGATATATGCATGAGGCTCTTCATGCATCCTAGGGATCCAGGCTCAGGTCTTCACGCTTCCACAGTGGATAATTCACTCGCTGAGCTGAATCCTCAGCCCAGATCCCTGGAGTTTTGATAGAAGAACACCCTGAGCTTTATCAGCATCATAGGGTAAAGGAGTCACCTAGATGATGTTTCTGATGCAGCAGCGGAAGAGAATGGGACACGAATCAGGAAGGAGGCAGATGCTGGAGAGCCTGGCATCTGGTCTACCCACTGGATTCTGAATCCTTTTGTACTTACTGATGTGGATTAACTTCTCCAGGGTGGACTCTTACCCTCTATAACATCAGACTAATCATGGTACCAGTCTTGGGGAGTTGTAGGAATCTGATAATCCATCAGAAGTCTCTCGTACGAGATCTCCATGTAACTAGCACATGTTGCATTCTGACTGGAGTTGCATAAAGGAAAGCAGATGGAACTGATGAGAATGTAGATGGACCATGGTGGCATGGTGCAGGGATGCTCCTCTGAGTTCAGTGCTAATGAACAAGAACCAAGCACAGCATCATACTGAGCCCAGGTCAGGGCACTTTCAAGGCACCTCGAATCCTGCCTTCCTAAGACCAGAAACTTTGACATAAACAGGAGCTGTTAGAAACTAGAGTCTCAGCAGCTACCCAGACTCAGCAAATCAGAAAGTAAATGTCGAAGATCCAAGATCTCTAGCCAATTTCCTTGCAGGTGAGACACGGAGAAGTGGCTTGTTTGAAAGTCAGATTAAAGCACGCATTCCTCGTCTCTCCGCCACACACACTTGGCTACATTGCCGCCTACGCTCACCTATGGTGTAATTAACCCAAAATCAACCAGAGCATGTGAATTAAAAAAAAATAAAACCAAAAGAACTAGTGACTCCTATTTTACTCCTTAAATGTGAAAAGCAAAGGGAAAGCAAAGAAGATGGTTCTTTTTGTACAATTTTTTTTAAACACGTGATACTAGGTGAAGATTTTAAATCCAACTTTTAATCCCTTTGGCAAGCTTTATATAATTATTTAGTCTGCCTTTAGCTTGTTTTTTTCTGTTTTATTTTTAAAAGTTTTTTTTAAGGTTTATCTGTTTGAGTATTTTTCTGAGTGTGTGTGTGCGTGGAGGCAGATGTATACACACGCATATGTCTATATTCTGAAGCTGGATGAAGATGCCAGTGTGTGTGTGCATGGGGCCAGATGTGTGAGGTGCACACGTCTGTATTCTGAAGCCAGAGGAAGATGCCAGGTGTCCTGCTCTACACGTACAGCCATGTTCTCCTAAGACAGGGTCTCTCACCGAACCTGGGGCCAAGCAGGAGGCCAGCAAGGCCCAGAACGACACATGTACTTGGAGACTGTGAAGGCCAGAAGAGAAGTACTGGATCGCATGGATCTGTTGTCAACAGATGGCTATGGATGTCGTGTGGGTGCTGGGAACCAAACCCCAGTCTTCATGCAAGAGCAGTCAGTGCTTTTAACTGCTGAGACACCTCTCCAGTCCTGCTTCTTTCTTGTTTAACCTCTCTCCCTATATCTCTTTCTTTCTCTTCTTCTCCCACTCTCCCTTCCTCCTTCCTCCCTCCTTCCATCCCTCCATTCTTTCCCTTTTGCTTCCTTCCCCTCCCTTTTATTCTCTCTCTGTCTCTCTCTCTGTCTCTCTCTCTCTGTCTCTCTCTCTGACTCTCTCTCTCTCTCTCTCTCTCTCTCTCTCTCTCGCATGGAGTTCAAGCTGGCATTTGAACTCATTATCCTACTGCCCATGACTCTCTAGTGCTGGGCTTACAGACACTTGTCACTTGGGGATAAGTCTGTTCCTGGGTGTGTGTGTGTGTGTGTGTGTGTGTGTGCTTTGTGTATGCACTCAGATACGTGCAGGTGCTTATGTCTGTATTCTGAGGCCAAAGGAAGATGCCAGAAGTCCTGCTCTATCGTGTTTAGCTTTATACCCTTGAGACAGGGCTTTCACTGACCCTGGAGGTAGGTTGGAGGCCAGCAAGCCCCAGCAGTTCTGTTCCTGATCTCAACAATACTGGGGCTGCAGGTGGATACATCCAACCTGGCTTTTACATGAGTACTAGGGATTTGTTTGTTTTTTAAAAATTGTTTTTATTGAGCTATATATTTTTCTCTGCTCCCCTTCCTTGCTCTCCCCTCCCCTTCTACTCTCTCCTATAATTCACATGCTCCCAATTTACTCAGGAGATCTTGTCTATTTCTACTTCCCATGTACTTTAAATACATGTATGTTTCTCTTAGGGTCCTCTTTGTTGTCTAAGTTGTCTGGGATTGTGAATTGTAGGCTGTTTTTTCTTTGCTTTATGTCTAAAAGCCACTCAAGAGTGAGAACATATATCCTGGGTCTGGGTTACCTCACTCAATATGATGTTTTCTAGATCCATCCATTTGCCCGCAAATTTCAAGATGTCATTTTTTTCTGCTGTGTAGTACTCCATTGCATAAATATACCACATTTTCCTTATCCATTCTTCGGTCAAGGGGCATTTAGGTTGTTTCCAGGTTCTGGATATGACAAGCAAAGCTGCTGTGAACATAGTTGAACACATGTCCTTGTGGCATGATTGAGCATCCTTTGGATATATAACCAAAAG